GGGGCTGTCCAGGCTCCATCAGCACCCCCAGCCCAGGACACGGGGCTGTCCAGGCTCCATCAGCACCCCCAGCCCAGGACACGGGGCTGTCCAGGCTCCAGCCGTGCTCCATCAGCCCCAGTGTGGGGCCAGAGCCAGGGAATGCATCTCCCTTTTCCAAAGCAGCGCGGTTATTTCTGGCCCTTCCTCGCTTTCCCTCCGCGGGTGTTATTTCAGCGAGAACCCAACGTCCCGGGATGGCACTCGGGGGTGGCTCCAGCTGGAGGATCCCCCGAGCTGCCCCACCCCTCCTTCAGCCCCCTGAGGGCTCTGCAGCACCCCGAGCTGTCCCCCAGCCCCGCGGTGACAGCCAGTGGTGACAGCCGGTGGTGACAGCGGGGGCGGCTGCTCAGCAACCGCTGGGACGTGCACAGCGACATCGGGCGCTGCCCCGCAACGCYGGGGGCCAGCCCGGTGACAGACCCGCTGCCCGGACTGCCAGGGGACACCCAGTGCCACCCGAGGGGACACGGCACCTGGGGAAGCCAGGCCAGCGTCCCCAGGCTCAGGTGTGGGTGACAAACCCAAGCCGCTGCCAGGCATTTTCCAGATTTAGCCCGGGGATCGCGTTACCCTCCCAGGGGAGGTGGCACCGCGCCACCCGCCAGCCACTGTCCCCCTGCGAGTGCCACACACCCCCTGCCACCCCTGTGAGAAGGCTGAGGAGCCCCAAACTCACAGCACCAGTGCTTTATTTCCCGGTCGATCGGGGCCGTTTACCAGCGGAAAAATCAATGGGCAGCTCCGGGCGGGAGCGGGGACCCCCGGGGGAAGGAGGGGGCTCGGGGCAGGCGCCACCCACCCACCCAAACCYCGCTCAGGGCCGGTAACTGCGGGGCGGTGGAAAGGAAAAAGAGAAGAAAGAAGTGAAAACAGCTTTGCTGCTCGCCCCCGGCCKGCCCAGCCTGCCCTTCCTTCCTTCCTTCCTCAGTTTCTCGTTTTCGAGCGCCGGGGGGTGGGGGAGGGACACGGGGGTGGCAGGGAGGGAGCTCAGGGGACCCCAAACCTGGCAGGCACAGTTGGGTCTGGGCAGCCCCAAACTCTGGGAGCGCCCAATGTCACCGAGGTGCCACCCCACAAAGCCACCCCATGAGTGTCCCAGCTTGGGGGGCCAYCCTGGGGCAGGGGGACAACGAGGCAGGGGTTACCTGGGTGCAGAGCTGGGGGGTGCCAGGGCCGGGGGGTCACGGCTCCTCTGCGATCCTCATTTCCAGCAGGGTGCAGGGCAGGGAATTTGCCAAAAAAAACATCAAATAGACCCACCAAAAAAACCCACCAAAAAAAAACCCACCGAAAAAACCTGCTTGGTTTTCTCACTGCAGCACAGGAGCGAGCACCAGGGCTGAGAAACAGCAGGGGAAAAATGGATGGGCCACTGCCATCACGGACTGGAGGCCAGGCTGGGCCTGTCGTGTCCCTTGGCACCTGGCACTCCCAGGGGATGTGGCACTCAGGGATCCCTCACCCTCCGTGTGCCCAGGGTGGGTGCAGAGCAAGGACCTGGATTCCAGGTGGGAAAGAGCCTGGGAGAGACAAAACTGAGGGAGCCAGCAGGAAAGATGGAGAGAGAAAAGGCTCTGGAGTGCCAGGAATGGCTTCAAACTGCCAGAGGGCAGGGCTGGGTGGGAYATTGGGGTAAAATTCCAGCCTGGGAGYTGGGTGAGRCCCTGGCACAGGSTGCCCAGASAAACTGTGGCTGCCCCWGGATCCCTGGGARYGTCCAAAGYCAGGCTGGACACTGGGGCTGGGRGCAACCTGGGATGGTGGGAGGTGTCCCTGGACATGSWATGAGATGGGATTTAAGGTCCYCAAACATTCTGTGATTGCACAGCCCAGCAGCTGTGGGGTTCCTCCAGCACTCCCAGCAGGTCCCAGCAGGGTGGCAATGCCACCACAAGGCCACCTGTGCTGGGGACATCCCAGGGAGGGGCAGATCCAGCCCAGGGAGAACCTGCAGAGCTGGGACCAGCCCCGTGGCCACCCCTCGGGGCACTCACTACAGTGCCAGGGCTCAAAGGGAATCCTGCATCTTCCTGGGAACACTCCAGGAAGAAGCTGCAGGATGGGATTTTAGGATTTTAGGACAGGGACACCTGGAAACTTTGACCCAACACCAACACCGGCCACGAGGCTGAACCAGAGATCCCATCCAGACTTTAGGATGAGGACAGAGGGCTGGGAAATCAGTGGGATAACCCCATTTCCAATTTCCATCAGCAGAGCCGTGCGGGGTCCGGCCCCATCCGGAGCTCCTTCCCCGAGCACGCAGCCCTGAAAGGGAGAAAAGGGAGAAGGAGCAGGCGAAGGAGGGGCTTGGCAGAGGCACCGCGGGGTCAGTTGACAGCGGCGGCGAGGGACTGAGTCACCGGGACTGTTTTTAGCCCCGGCATCTCAGCAACGCCGAGCGGGACGTTGTTAACGGGCGCTGGGTCAGAGGCCAAATGTTTTCCCTGCCCCGCGCTCGATGCCGTGCCTGGAAAAAGCCGAGGGATCCGGCACGGGAAAAACGTTAACGGGGCTATCCCAAAAGAGCCAGGTGAGGTTGGCCAGCCCG